TTGGCGCATTTGTCTCCTCCGTCCTTCCGGTTCTATTCAAAAACATGCCGAATAAATGTGCAGGGGACATCAGTGAATAGGGCATTTGAGTATTCATCGGCCGAGGTTGGCTTTAAGTTCATTGCGAATTCGCGTACAAAAAACTACGATCGCCTCATATATGACTGGGATGCCAAGAGCCTGTGGTTGTAAAAGTAACGTTACACGCCACTGTTATAAAAAGCAAAAATTGTTAACACTTTAACGAAGGCGGATACAAACAATTTTGGGAATCTTAGATAGCGAAGGTTTGTTGCAAATATATATTATGCATGATTTTTTGTCTTACATCTAGTGCTAATTCTTTGACTGATGAGGAGAGTCTGCATCGTGAAGAAAGCTGAATTTCCCACCTAAATGCAAACGTCGCCATAGCGGCATGATAGGATTAAGGTCTTTAAATTGCGATCACTCACATTTAGTATGTAGCGTAACGCACGTACAAAGTCTTTGATGTTTGTACCCATTTTGTAGACAACTATGGCTTCATTTAATTTCAGACTCAAAGGGCGGTTATTTTTTGGTTGAAGGTAAGTCTATGACTATATGCAGTTCATTTTTTAATGTCCCTTCTGGAGTATACCACGATGCTCAAATGCATTGCACATATTATAAACTCTATGACTCATTGTTAATATTAGGGAAGTACTATGCTTTTCCATTTGTTTTGGAACCCATAAACAATAGGATACCGGCGTGTAGAGATAAAAGTATTATTCGAAGCAAAAAGACCATCCAAAAATGAAAAGTACCATTCCCTTCAATGCGCTGTTTAAAAGTGCAAATTGTTGTCAGATGTCAACAAGTAAAGTAACATTTCGGCGTACTTCCAATAAGCTTTGTTTAATTTATCAGGCCATTTATGTTAACGCAAAAACCAAATCATGAGGGGTTATTTTCAGTCAAATATTTGCGAGTGCGTCAGGCCCGAGCTGTTATGCCGCTCAGACAGTCTTAACATTATATAATGGAGAGGAGGTCATTGCGCTTGATAATGGACTGGTTGCGAAGATCCGTGATCCAAGAAACTAGTCGCATTCACAACACGAAATTTTTGTTTTGATCTCCACTTGGTCGAACTTGAAGACGCGGATGGTTTCCGCGGAATAAAATACGATCTGATAGCCGGTGTCACTTAAACATCTTTGGCAAGTGACGTTCTTCGCAATTCGCCAACGTCCATGACGTATTTGCTCTGTCCGCAACTGTACCATGTCCGGCAAATAATTTCAGTGGTTTCCTGCTGTACGATCCGGTTTTTTGGACGCATTACCTCTAAGCTGAAGGTTGAATGAATCTCAACGCAACCGACGCTCCAAGGTGATTAGCAAGGCGGTTACTGGCACCCGATGTCCGTTGAGATACGCGGAGGCTGCAATTTCGTCCCCTGTCTAGTTCAACGAAGTTACATGGGCAGCTGTTTTCTTTGAGTACCCATCGAAGTTATACCAGTTCGGCAGGCTTTTCACTGTTTCAATCTAGCCCGTCTCAAGAAGCCACTACAGACCGTTTATGCAACTACGCTTGTGGGTGACTGGACGATTGTAATGGAGCTCGTTATAAATATCACAAAGTTCATTTTTCTGAACATATTAGCTTTGAGGAGACTAAAATATTTTTGACGGACGAGGATATAGATGAAATTTATTTGGCCTCCTTCCTCCTCTATCATAGATTATTTAAATGCTTAAACCTACTTTCGTTGGATAAGTATTGTTCTAAGGAAGTTGTGAAATTGAAGATAAAAAACACAAGTGCCCGGCATCCGGTTTTATAATACACTTGCGCAGATGTGCTAGACCAAACCTCTAACTTTTAGGAGTTACAGCTGACTGTTGCAGGCATAATAACAGCCTATGAAATTAACTCGTGGAACGTCGTTGTGGGGGTAATGGGTTAATGTTTTTGCTTTGTAACTATTCCTTACCCACGCAAAAGCAGAGCAAAATATAAAGTATCTGCACGTTAACAACGACGATTCCGCATTCTGCACTAGATAGTTCCGAAATCGTTGGCGAAACAGTACGCATAAATAACTGCTTCAAGTCCAGTGGAGGTGTAGAATATTAACTTTGTCATTAAATTAACTTCGTCATTCAAAAGGTTCCCGTAAATCGTGGGCACTATGCCATTTGTTGCACTGTACCGAATAATTCTAGCTAATATGGGTTTAACAGGTCAGCCCGAATTTCATCTTGTTGGAAAATACCATTTTCGAGATAGAGAGACAGAGAGGAATTCGCTTTATTTTGAAATCGTAAATTCAAAATTTTCAGCAAAAAATTGGCTCCATTGGGCAGTAAATGAGTTAAGAGATTATTCAAGAGTCAAAGAAACGATTATTATGGAGATAGTTCAAGTCTGAGCTTCTGTATTTCTGTCTCTTCGCACGTAAAATGGCGCGCTAGGAATGGCAATACAGAAGCTCGATAGGCCGATGTGCGACAGGATATAAGTCGGAAGAATTGGGCGGGAAGATTTCGCAGACATAAGATCAGAATGTAAGGGATGGGCAACTTCATCTAGAATTCGACCAGCAAATTGCTTGACCGCATTGAAGTGTCGTTGTAAGATGATGTCAACTAAAAAAAGATAAGAAACACCGGCAGCAGAAGAGAGCATGCGGAGGACTCGTTTCAAAATTAAAAGATCCTTTTTTAGCAAAGAAGGAACAATGACAGGAGTGCAGTATAGGATAAGAGGAAGAATGCAGGCATCAATGAATCGCCAGACTAAGGGTTGAGGTGTGTAATAGGAACGTAAACGACGTATGTAGTAAAGAAGTTTATGAACTTTAATAAATAGGGACCCAATATGGAGGGAAAATGAAAGATTTGATGACAAAGTAAAGCCGAGGTACCTGAAAGAGCATACTTCGTTAGGAAGAATGTCAGAGGAATCAGGATAAGGAGAGGGCTGCAGCCGAAAAATACACTGAACGGATTTTTGGTTGTTAATTAGGAGACCATTTTCCTCCGACCACGCTAGGACATGGTTTAGGCCATCCTTTAGAGACCAGAGGTGTGTCTGACTTTTTAGACGGTGTCCAATAACCACATCATCAGCATACTTGACCAGAAGACAGCCCAATAATTATTTAGAAAAGCCTTTTGGTTTTAGTGCTGTATTCTTGCCCTGGAAACGGAAGAACCCACACAGGGCCCTGCTAGATCAGAGCTGAATGCCAGGTAACATACGTACCTTGTAAATTTGCTTTTTTCGTTGCAAATACAAGGCTACATTTAAATTTGCATGTTACCTCCGCCACACAATCTTGAACAAGTGTCCCAACGGGCTGTGATTACCTGTCTCATTAACCATAAAAAATCACATGATATCTTCCAGGTGCATCTCCGAGAATGCGGTCATCGGGAGGACTCGCAATACAAGCTAATTGCCTGACAAATGAAGAAAGTGACGCGCCGTGAAGAGTCAGGCAGTGTTGACGGTTTATTCCACCGTTACAAAATACATCCAATTCACATAACCAGGAGCATGGTGACGCACGGATTTGACCGGCTCATGGTGGAGCGATTGCGTGAGAGACGCAGGCCTATTTAAATCCAACAAGTCAGTTGAACGAAATAGCTATGCTGAGAGTCTCCGTTTTGTTCCTCATCATTCGTGCTATATGTAAGTGTGACTTGTGTTGTCAATATTGGCTTTAAACGGAAAGTATGCCGTTATCATTAAATGCATAAGGTCTCAGTGTGACAAGTCAGATAATATGAGTAGCAGTTAATGCGCAAAGGAAATTAAAATCTGCGGTGAATTCTTTTAGCCTTCTGAATCTTACCTTCTTACAAAGGTACAGTTGGGGTTTCAAAATATTTTCCCAATCCGAACGTTATGTTACTCCCTAAAAGGGAACTCCATGCGCAGGATGCCTGCGATAGCTTGCGGAAAGTCAAATAGTGCTTTTAACAACCAATGTACAAACCGGATTCAAGACACAGATAAAGTACTTTAGCCTTTTGAAACTTACCTTCCTTCAGAAGGGAATTTGGGGTCTCAAAATTCGCCCTCAAACACGAACCTTGTTCATGTCTTAAACGATGAACTCTTTTCGCATAGAGCTTCAGATGCAAGCCTTAAAGCGATTAAAAATGTAACGTGCAAGCACAGGCGAGAAATCACTTAGAAAATGCGACTACAAGAGAGCACGCAAACAAACGAGTCAAGTTGTGAGATACTCACATAAAATTCTCATTAAATATATTCACGCTTCCCATCAATGCTAATGTTGTCATGTGAGGAGCCGGCTTCAGTGACGTTAAATGTCAGACACATTCTAAACTGCGACCAGTTACTTTTGTTTCTTAAGCTGTTTTGGGGCTGTTGTTGCTTTTGTTCATAAGAAGTTTCAACAGCCAGAAAAATTTTAATTTTACCTAATCCTGAAAACGCCTCAAAATATCAACTAATGTGTTTGCTAATCCAACTTTTAACCGAGGCAGTAATAGTCAGAATTCTCAACGTTTTACTGATCCTTTCTCGATGAAATTGCTAAGGAACGTCTGGTGAGCCCGGGGTTTAATAAGTTATGAAATATCTTCTGAATGCTTGGTTGCTTCCGAAGGAAATTATTTTCAAACTAAAACGCTAAGATTTTTTGCTCCTTATTCACAATCATCAGACATCTCTCCCAACCAGGACTCTTGAACAAAACTGATCCACAATGTTTTAATACTGAGAGGTTTGTAAAGTCAAAATGTTTCATAAACTGCTGTTTTGGCGAACAACATATTCGATTCTGTCTTGCCATATGATAGACAGCTGTGAAGTACAAACTTCGGCGTGCATCTAGGAAATAACATTTTCTTGGGTCTGGTTAACTTAACGCACATATTTCGATTGGCTTTAATCATTTCACTGTTATCCTTTAAAATATCACAGGCAGCGAAAACCCAACACTATGGGGTTCTTCGGTGATAACAGATATCGCCGGTCCTTCTCCCCTAATGCGTTATGTGACTCCAGAAGAACCCGTAAGTGTGGCGTCTATGCCCTAATCTGAATAGCACACTCACAAGTAACACGGACTGCAAAACATCCATTATATATCACGTACTATTTACCGATTTCCAAACGTATTGATATAGTATATGTAGGTATTATAATTACGATGCATATTTCATATACTATGTACTTAATTATAATAATTTTATAATTATGCAACATACATAACATAATAATTATACACATATGCATTAAATTAAAATAAGTAAGATTCTTTGGGAAGTAAATAACCTCTAATGCGTAAATCTTCGAGCTTAGTTACCCAGCTCGTCGTCAGACTTTCGGGCTATGTACAAAAACAGTAAACTATTTAGCCTTGTCGAACAAGTGATTCTATGGGTGGCCGAAACCTGCGCCAATTCGCATCAAGGGTTTATCGTCATCCCCTCGGCATTGCCTGCGCTCGCTTCCATTTTTCCTTGGGAAATTTTTATGTGGCAAATAAATCGATATGCTGATTGATGCATGCGTCATCGGAGTGCATTGCATCCAGGAATTCGCGGCCTTTCCTTATTTGGCAGGCGCCAACAGTGCGAGTATTCTGTCATGGGACTTTGTGCCCAGTGTCCACTGTGTGCATAGCCACATCGGATAGATGATCTCGTTATTGCTTTCGATGAGCTCAGACACATCTTCGCGTATGGTAGCCACCGCCAGGGGAATGGTTTCAATGTCTGAGCGGCTGCAGTTTTCGAAATACCTTTCCTTTTAACTTCATGCTCCATGCAGTAGCGTGCAAAGTCGCGCGGGTACCTATCGTGGGAAAATAATTTGAAGAGGTATTTCATTGCTTTTTGACAACGTTCTTCATCAGCGCTGCGTGTTTTAGCTCGGTTTAGCAGGCTGATGACAGTAATTCTCTTGTAAGAGACGGGGTAGTTACTCTCAAAATAGGGGTTGACCTTTGAGTATGATTCTTTGTGATAAACGGAAGTGTGAATGAATCCATCAGTTTTTCATCATAGGAGTACATCCAGAAATGAGAGTTGTCTATCGACCTTTGTTTCGAAAGTGAACTTGATTCCTGGAAATATAGAGTTAAGAATCGTGTATAACGGGATCTAACTGGCTTTTTTGACAATGATAAAATGTATCATTACCATAGTGCTGCATTGGCGGAGGCTTCGACTAACCATAGAATCACTTTTCTGACAAGGTTAAATATTTAACTGTTCTTGTACATAACCCCGAACTCTGACAACGAGCTGGGAAACAAGTCTCAAAAATTTACGCATTAGAGGTTAATTTCTTCCCAAAGAATCTCACTTATTTTTAGTTATATTTCTTCGAATGCCCGTTTTCCAGTGCATATATATTAATATAGTATAATACAAGTAGGTAATTGCAGAAATAAGAAGCGGTCGTCGGAACAGGTTTAGTGGAATGTTTTTTGGAGAGCTTGATCGGCTTGCCAATGTCAGGGCGTGAAATGCTGTCAATAGTACGAAAATAAAAGTTGCATGTCGTGCTGGTTAACCTCGCGCTAACCGACGTCTCCCTTCTTTCGCTGTCTAGACATTTAATGGGATGATTTGCAGGCTTGTCGTTTTTGTGTTCAACTGTAAATGCGTCAGAGAGATCCGCGCTTTCTCCCAGCAGTCTGAAGCAACTGTTTCAGTTTTTAAGTTCAAGTCGTCTGTACTAATCCATATGGTAAAAAACTAATGTACACATATATATGTGTTGCTTGATAGGTGTGATGGGTTCACCAATATTACCAGTTCATGGAAAAACTTAGTGAATAAAGTTATGCTATTATTAATGTTCCGTGATGGTTTGGAAGTGGAAATGACACTGAAAAACCATTGTCCTTATAGACGTGTCTACAATGTGTGTCACGTTTATTAAAATGCGTAGAAATATCTCGTCACTATCTGATTAGAAATTAAAGAGCAAATATTAAAGACCATCAAAGGTGGCATTTCTGTGTAGGGTTAAGACGTTAAAGATATCGTCTACAATCAGAATGAACAAGCAGGCATTTGCTAAACGTTCGCGGTTTCTGGAATTAATGGCTTCATTCTGCTTGATTTCATACACAGCGAATATTTGCTTTAGGGAAACGGGTCAAAATTCGGCGACACAATCATTTCTGTTAAATTGCTTTATCCAATTCTAGTATATAGAGCTTGACGAACAACGTTTGGATATTAAAAGTGGAAGGTGCTATATACGCGATGAAGAAGTCGGCAAGGATTGTTCAATAACAAGTGGTATACCCTATTTATATTCCATTAATACTTACTTGTAAATGTCAAAGTTTGTATATGAAGTATTCTGGGCATATGCATTTGAAGTTTTTGTGAATAGCCCTTAAGATACACAACAGCTTCTCTTGATTTCTCATCTACACAAAACAGTTTTTTGAGGTTTGGAAAATTACACATTCGTTGCCCAAATTATCATGGTCAAACTTACTGAAAGATGCTCGCAAATGCTCAGTTAAGTCGACTTAAAAACTGTTTTACTTACATGAAGCTTTTATAAAATATCGTTTAAATATGTGATACTGCCTTTGAATTTCATTGGTTTCATTATTTGTAGTCAGTTGCTATCGGTTTAACACTTTTGTAAGTATAAACTGATGTTTTTACAATTACTCAACTCTACTTGACTTTCAGTGCCTGAAGGTTTCCTGACGAAAATCCAACTTTTCTTCGTGGCCAAACACAAGCACTTAAAAGTACTCGGCGATATTACGCACACCACATTTTTTGCACCAATGTGCAGATTTGGACCAACGTTGGCAGGTAGAAATAAACTTTTGTGTCACCGATCTTGACGTCCTCTAACCCAAATAATGTCAGATTAAGGTATCCTTTATCAAAACTGAAGTTTCGGCAAAACGCTCAGCCATAGCAGTTTAGTCATTGAAATGAAAATCACCATTATCCAGAGACGTCAATGAAGTTTTTTGTTCCAGGTGATGCCATTCTCGAACCCTCGCTACCATTCTCTCGTTTTTTGAAGGGGTTCAACGAGGTTAATATAACCTTTGCAAAGACCTCTGGCGCGCACGGTGCTGTGGTATGTCAATTCATTTTAGTCTGACAAACTGTAGACTCGAAATTGCAACTAATGAGGAGTGCTTTTTAAAATGCATAAGTTTTGATAGTGTGGCATGCCATGTTTCAGAAGCGTAGGATGGGCATCAAAAATGACAATCAAATGTCCATCAAATATTGAATCTTATCTACCTGTATGATTAAACAACGCATCGTTACCGGTTATGTTGAATGAACCTTTTAGAATTGACTTGAAAAGGGTCTCATGCCGATGGTTTGAGTGATACGGAAATGACTCGTTCCTTCCACTCCTGTTGGGTTACCCTTAACCAAATGGCCTACCAGTCTACACAAAAAACTAATACTATTAGCAATACTCAGTGTCACGTTAATTTACGGTACGGATTCTAGGGACTAAATCTATCTCGATGTAGGGCGGAGTTCTCCAGAAGCATAAAACCTCCCAAAATTCCAAAGTTCTCTTCGGAAAATGTCTCCATCAGTTGACATATTCCGCTACACTTCAGCCGAAGTTTTGGTTTTATAAATGCATCATCGAGTTACTTCTCGAATACTTAAATTACGTAGTCAGTAGCAAGTTTCACTAAACGGCGGAATTCGGTTCGTAGGCCTCGTCCAGTTTTTTAAAGATACGTTCACAAACTGGAAATTGTGGTAGTTTGTGGAAACTCTCAATTTTTGTGATAGTAGTTTCCCCAGGTACCTTGAGGCGAGCATAAAACACTGAGTTGCGGGTAAGCGAAGGGTCGCTGTAATCTACACAATTAAATAAACAGGGCTAAAATGCGCTCAATCAAAATAAAGTGATTGAACACAGTATATCGGAATTTACTTAATAAGCATGTCAATCTGAAACTGCAGATGACCTTATGACTGTTACATTTAAGACACAATTATGGGACGCCGAAAGGCGCCTCTGCTCCTGGAAAGGAGCACTCAGAACTGAAGGTGATCCAACTTTCTGCCGTAAGTTAGCGTGTCTTGACGGGTTCTTCCATCTTGGACAAATCATTTTTGGATGAATAAGTATTCATTTCTCTTTGTGCAGTAAGTATCAGTTAAAATATTGGAAGAATGTGCACAAATATATATGTAAAATGACAAAATCCATTTAAAATTGCGAGTTCGAAATTGAATCCAACACAAATATCGTTTTTATTTGGTTAGAATTTTCAGTCGTTATCGCATAACCGACGCTCCGTATCACCCTAGCACTTGAATCATTTCCTTCCCGTGAAACGTACCCACACTGACTAATCGTTAGAAAGGTAAAAAAATTCAGAATTGCGTTACTTATTAGAAGGAATTAGTTAAGTAAGTTTATAATACTGATTGCATTTGGGCATACCCCAAAAATATTTTGGTCAACTCAGGATGTCTGCATCTGAGTGTTTTTCTTCATGATCACCTGCAAATACACAATCGTAAAAGTGACGGTGTGAGTAGTACACACTTGCTTTTGAGTTTCAATGTCCTTATAAATTCGAATACCTGTTAAATAAAGCCAGCCTAAACCAGGCCTTCTTGTACTTCTTTGCAACCATTCGCTTCACCATAACATATTCAAAGGAAAATCTCTATTGGAATCGTCAAACATTTTTTATTTTCCGAATAAGTTTAGCAGATTCTGACGTTGCCTTTGTACTTAATATTTGCGGTCAACGAACTGTATGCCTTTCATGTATAGAAAATCAAACATCCCCCTGTTATTAAGGAGAGGTCGTATGGAAAGCATCAACATTGGCAGTAATGTGGGATTTGTCATAAACTTTCTAAAAAAACATTTGTTACTGGACCGGCAAGATGTTAACTGTGGAGAAATTTCACAGTCTTAAAAATTTGAAAATTTCGAACCCTGTGATAACAAAATATTCCCCATTACATGGGTTAAATTTTAGGAGGACGAAATTTAGTACCACATGAACATAAGGAAATAGGCTTTCAAGAAAATATATCAGAATACATAACGGTATTGAAAAACAAGTGAAACATTAGATAATACTTATGTGGTCATTTTTCAATAAACATGGTACTTACATGCAGGCGGAAAGGCGCGCATTCGGAAGGCATCTTGCCGTGATCGAAATATTAAGATAATCAATGTTACGGCCAATGCCTAATTTAAAACACATTTCAAAAAATTTGGTTAACAGATCATAAAGTCGGCCAATGAATGCCTTGCAGGCAGTGACAGTCAGTATCTTTGGACCAAATGAGAGACGCCCTGAAAACACCATTTGACGGTACACGTATGCATGAAAAGTAGTCAAGTTGCAAATACTTGTGCATGTCGTTTAAGTATGCAGAGTGCATAAAACTAATGTTGAAATATGAATGTGAAAAAGATGTAGCATTTACAAAATCACCACAGAAAACACTTTCGCTGCATTCGTACTGTGAAAATTTCATCCGTGTCAAGTTTACTATACACAAAAGGATCTGCTTAGATCGTGTAAGTAGTATATTGACATTAATAGCAGTAATTTAGTAGATGGGGTCTGGGGAGCTCAGGAAGCCTTTTAACAGCTGCTTATGCGGATATCTTTTAAGCACATGCATGGTAGGGAAATTTACAACATACGCAGGCAAAGAAATCCATTGGTTAATGACTCTGCGAGAAAAAGTAGGAGCGTTGAATGGTATGTATGGCACAGTTCCTTTTCAAGCTGGCAATCGAGTCGTCTGGGATTAGTCATTGGCGACATTTTAAAAAGAACTTCACAGTTGACATCCAGATCCACTTCTCATGGCAGCTGAAATGTTTCCAGACGTCCACCTCTGTCTTGTCTGTAGTGGAGGGGATAGAGTTTCAAGGCCGTCAGGAGCTTCTTGTACGTAAAATATTGAGTTCATAGACAGCCCTTGAAGCACGTCGCTGTACACCTTCAAGAATAGCCATATCAATGCGAAGCCACGGCAACCAAGCCAACACCGCATGGTGCAGGTGAGGCCTCATAAATGCTCCATTAACCTTGCCAAACATATCTGCATTCAAGTTATTCAGCGTTCTTCGAATTGGGTTCATGATTGATTGCCCGCGATGCGACATTGGAACACTGAAAAGTGACGCTTAAGCCGCCTTTATTGAATACGCTGAGGTCCTTTTGCATATCTACGGTCCCAAATTGTTGATTGTCCGGGGGGTTACGGTCGTGAGGGTGCATTAATTTTTCGTCTTGATGAGGTTATGTGCACTACCACACATTTTTACGTTGAATTTCACGAAACACTTCTCGCCCACTGCATGCAAATTCTATACGTCCTCTTGAAGCATCTGGGCGTCTTTTTCATTGTTATCTCCACAGTTAAAGATGATCTGCAATGATTGCTATGGCCGATTTCACTTCCCGCACATACATAACGAATAGCAGCAACTCACGAATTGATGCTTGTGAGAGTCCACTTCTAACAGGCGTCCATTCTGAGAAGTAGCAACTTGAAATAACACTTCGGCTACGATCGTTTAAGAAATCTTGAATCCAGTTTAGGAGATTTCCTCTTCTCTCTATATCTTACAACCTTTTGAACAAGCGGCTTATGTGGAACGCAATCAAACGCCTTGTTATAGTCAAAATATTGGCACCTGCTGGTTGTCCTGCATCTATGGCCTTTGATGAATGCTCGAGTGACGTAAGCAGGTTTGTGAGGAAGGACCTCTTTTCACAAAAGTCATGGTGAACTGTGATGGTGTGACAGCAGAGTGTATCGAGCGATGTAATTGGTTCTTTAATCATCCTTTCCATCAGCCTGCAGCAAATGCATGTCAGACTTACCGGCCGGTATCTGGTGGGATATGGTCGTGATCCCCTACATAGACAGGTACGACGCTTGCCAACCTCCATGTATCAGGAGGTTTCCGAGCTTCATGTGAGTTTCGGCAGCTTATGCAGAGTGGTTCGGCTAATTCGTCAGCTGATTCAGATTATTTAACCATTTCAAAGCTCTTTGCGATGTAAATAATGCTCTGTTTATGAGGGGTTTGTTGACGAGCTGTGACAGAGAACAGGACTGGAGGGGTGGTCCCATGGTATACGCACTTTAAAAAAATGTTGAAAGAATCTCGGCTTCCTAAAAGCCTCGCTCACAATTTTTTTATGTTTGTTTTTTAATTGTGCATTGTCCCCGATGTATGCATAGACTTCTTTAGGGTTTTGCTGTGCCTCTGTTGCGATCAACGACGTATGATCAACTGTAACCGCACACAATAATTTCGTTCCGTCTTATGTCAGAAGTCAGGGGGCTGTGAGAACAGGGTTTATTCTGCACACAGGGCAGGTTGCCGTGACTTGGCTGTTTGCCTGTGACTACTAAGCGTCCGTTCCCGGAGAGCGTCAGTCGCGGTGTGTTGTTTACGCGGGTGTGAATGTCTGTGTCAGAAGGAGGGATGTGACTGGCTAAGTGTTGGCCATGGGATTTGACGGATTATGGGAGGAATAGGGGACCAATACTCACAAGGGCTCACGGGCATCAAGCCAGGGCGTCCAACGTGTGTGAGGTGATGAAAGTTTATGAGGAAGGCCGGAGTCACTGCAGCCGGACACGAGGTGCTCCACCTCTGATCGGTGGGGATGGCCGTGCACCAGCTGCCTGTCAACGGTTGTCGCGGCCATCAACCAGCAAAACGGAGCTGGAGAAAGAGGGATTGGAGCAGCCGCTACACCTTTTCCAAGAGCTTCAGCTTATAAGAAGCATGAACTTCATGCAGGGGTCTTTTGCATAAGTTCTGCTGTTGTTTAAATGTTTGGGGTTTTTTTGGGTTTCCTGTTTGTAAGATGATTTCCCACTACTTGTGCCTTTTTGAATGTTCTTCCTAGTCGCTGTTGTCAGCCCTATCGGTTTGTTTCCGGTCTGATGTTACTTGAGAGAGCAATGTCGTTCGATCAAGTCTCTCATAGTTGACTCAATGGCTCTCTAGCATTTTTTGACATCTCCCTGTAATAATTTCACCTACATAGCGTGCAATCTCCGATTTTATTGCCCCAAATGTACCCCGCCAAACATTTTTAAGGGCTTTAAGCTTTGTTCTGGGACAGTTACGAGCGTCGTTTTCCACATTTATAGCATGTGATCATAAGAAACTGGGGGCAGACCCACATATATTGTACCAACGCTTTCTTCTTTCTTGGTAAATGGTTGGTCCAAGCAACTAGATCCCTGAAATTCACGCATTCGAGTCTCTGTTTTGACATTTTGAAACAGAATTCATCAAGTGTCACGTCTGACAGCATTTGGTTAAATCCTTGTCTATGGCCCTTAACTGTCGTAAGATTCCAGTTACACTGCGGAGCATCGAAGTGTCCTACACTAATAGTGTTTTGCTTTCGACTGTCTTCGCCACGTCGAGTGCTTAACACCTGATCTTCATCGATAGGTTGATTTTTAGGCCTATATACAACAGTGACGGTAACAATTTCGGGTTTAGAAATCAAAAAATAACACTGTTGCCTCTCCAGGTCATACGTTTTTTAACATTCTTCAACAAGGTTCTATTTGACTGCATTTCTAGAATGCAGGGCAACTCCGCCACCTCTCCGTTTGGTTCGGTCTCATCTGAGCATTTGGCTACCATCTAACTGTATGTGGGGGTCTTTTACGTCTGAAGTGACCCACGATTCGGGTAGTGTGATAAGATCAGGATGCAGTTCAACCGCGATTGCTTTGATTTCGTCGGGTTTGCTCAAGAGGCTTTGTATATTTCCGCAAAATGAATATTATATATATTTTTGCATTGAAGTTGTTGCCTGACTGTGTGGTTCCCGCCAATATGACGGAGTCCTCCTCTGTCAAATATTACTATTCGTTTTTCTCCTTTTTCTCTCAAAGTCTTCAGCCTCGCCTTCGGCGCCTGCCTTTTCCTTTTCTCTTGTATATATACCTCACCGAACGGGGACGCCCCCTATCGTTCGCTCAAGTAGAAGGTCCCTCCGAAATTAAATTTCCAAAAGTATCTTTAAAGGCATTGATTTCGTGCCTTGAGAGCTGGCCTTATCTTTAGTCTGTAGTCGTAGAAGTTTAAAATCGTTATGATCTCATTTTCTTTTATTTTGTTACTCACATACGTTTACAAGGTCGTAAAAGCAACGTTTATTGGCGGAATGGTACTATCGGCAAATATAAAAAAATGACTGGAATGACGATTCCCGGCTTATTAACAATCGTCATCCAGTCCGGCTATTATCTAATAGGAAAAATGAATTGCCAGTATATGTAAAGGGGTAAGATGTCGTTTTATAGCCCCACGTGATGGACAAAATACTGTTGGGGTTTTGGTTAGGGGTTAGGAATTATCATTACGGTTTACAGTTTAGGATTAGGGGTTGTAATTAGGGGCTTGGGTTAGTGTTAGGGCTTGGTGCAACTATTTCTCAACAATTAAAACACTCCGCGCATCCTCAATAGCCTTCCTTTTACATACGACTACTTGAACGCGTAGCCTGTGGGTTCTCCAGCCCCACCTGAAAAATCCCCTATTACCACCGATCCCGTATTACAGGTGACAGGGAATTTTTACTTCAGGTGAGGCTAAATAACCACATCCGACCCGTTGCACCCAATAAGTGGGATCCTTTTCTCGAATAATTATTCGTCCTTACAGCCAGGAGACATTATTCAATAGAGGCTGAAGCAGTCCTCAGGCGGTATAGAACCTGCAACAATTCCGCATGTTGCAAGATGGTAGCGACTTGGCAGGAAATAGTTGATCATATGACCAAAGTAAATTAGGAAATAAGTTCAGCACGCGCTGTTTGCATTGTTTCTACTGATTTCCAACCTCGACATACTGTAAGTGACTGATCTTGTGAAACGTTGGCCGAAGTTCTGGAATGCGTTTTCGATTTGGAAGGATAACTAAGGTGAGTTTGTAATATTTCTTATGCTGCGGTATATTCTTATAAAATTTTAGACTCGCCAAAGTGGCTGCTTTTGACTGCACTATTTTTCGACCTCCTGCAGAAACCAACTCGGTAAAAAGTGACTTCTGAAGTAACAAACTTTTTTTCACATTGACGCACGATTGTCTTAGAAATTCAAATATATTTTACAGAAACCATGCACAAGAGCGTGCTTTCTTTTACTCATTCGGTCGAAAACCGCATTATCTTTACACTTTACAAGCGAATAAAATGTGTATTTGGGTTTTGAAAAGGTGTCCCAATTCTCGGATAATTTTGGGCCAGATCAGCCGTTGCATTAACGTATAGCGATTTCCTTCTACAGGGTGCATAATTTTTGCGTAGAAGACACTATTTAGAGTTCATAGAATTATGTAGTGGATGCGGACTATGTTGTTCATTTCATATATGTTTGGACATTGCACGGACTTAAAAATCTCACAATTTGAAGCTTCTTTAAAACCAAAGATAACATTTGCTTGGGTATAAAACGCGAGGACAATGTGATTTCCTGCCAAACGCGTAAAAGAAAGCATGCTATTTTGCATGTTTTCTGTAAAATATGTGTTAATTTATAAGACAATCGAACGTTTGTGTGAAAAACGCATGCTACTTAAGTGGTCATTTTTATCGTGTGGCTTTTGGAAGTAGAAAAGCAGCGCATTTAAGAGTCGCCATCCTGCCGAGTCCGAAATACTTTAGGATGATTCCAGATGATAATCAGCGATTCAAAATGAAGTAATGTATTTGTATCGTCAATAATCCTTAAGGTATGGATGAATAACACTTAAGCCATGTCAAAGACGAAGAACATCATTTTAAAATCGTCGATTTACTTCTGGTACTCTGGCCTGTCCCTCTAACACAGCGTTCATTGTCTTGTTGGATTTCCGAGGAAATTAATGTACGAGCATGTAGTAAATCCTCCGGAACAGACCTTTTCAAGCACGGTCCGAAATGTGAAATGAATATTTGAACTGAAATCCATCAGTTACTGGGGAATAACCGCGTAATACACGCAGCCAGTCCTATAGAACTGTGTATTTATTTACCATACTAACAACACAGGTAGAAGTTAAAAACTTCTTTATGAGGAAAATCTGCCCTTTCCTTGCGAAGTTACGTAGCCTAACGTGAATAGTACCAAGTCACAGGCTTGCGTTCTATCGACAGTGACAGGGCTTATTTGAGATAGCATAAAAGTGTAATTAATAGATTCCGTCTGACTGCAGAAACGAACACACCAATAGGAATACTAATTCAAGTTCCTATCTCTGTAGACTGCATTTCTGAATTATGCTTTGTTTTTCGAACGTGTGATTGAATGTGACGTCCCCTGACAGGGATTCCATAGCTAACCTGTAAGATATGTGCTGAACAACAATAACATCGTGACACTAAATTGTCAGCTATGTTAACATTATCTTTGCTGTCTCAACTTCTGAGGGTGATTTTCCGCCCCATATTTAAAAATTATCACAAAATTTATGTTCATTCCTTAAACTGGCGTAAACAATCTTGTATATTTATCACAGCCATAATGGCCGCTTGATAATTCGCATTGTTAAATGGTAACGTTTTCAATTTTCTTGAAGAATTGACGCCCAGGAATCATAATAAAGAACTTTGGTTCAGTGGAATATTTCGCAGAGGCAAGCGCAGCAACAATTCGTACGAATGGGGTGACAGTACAAGAACCTTTGTTTCTGTTTCCGTCGATTGGACTCAAACAGGTAGGGTATTTTCGTTCCTACAGCTTGTGGTTGTTTGCCTACATTATGAGGTAGTTGGGGTTAAATGATATCGTTAGGAGAGAATCTGCATGTTATGACTTAGAGAACAGAAATGATTGAGAACGAAGCACTTACATGAATTGCATTAGTTGATCCGCCATTCGTATTTTAACTTTCAACATACTCCTTGGACATGTTTTCGACAGCGTACCATTAGTAAACTGTTTCTTTAGTTTTATTAACCATGCGCATTTCAAACTAGACTTTTTAGTTTTTATCTCTTTGGCATATTCACAAGCATGACTATCCGCATAAATTCACCTGCTCATAACAAATCTGCTGTTCCATTTGTCTTGTGAACCGCTATGCCTTTCGTGTTCCTCCCAGTTTTCAACCACATATATTGACAGTCAGCGTTTTAATGGTTGTCGGTTGATATCGATTCTACATATGCAGCCCATTTCAACTCATTTATCAATTCAAGTGTCATCTATAAATCAGAATACACGAACATACTATGTTCACGGGGATGATTTCTTTTTATTGGGTGTATGAGAAATTGATATTGTTGGGTCTTCTGCATACGTGGTTTGATCACCTCTGTGAGGCACAAATTACATTAATAGATCATGGGGCACTTCACCTATTCCTCCTCGAACACGAGATAATTTGTCGAAATAGAAAATAGTCTGGATTGAAAAATAACAAAGAGATTTATACCATTTGGTCGGAATGGCTTTTTTAGTTGTCTTTCTATCCCAGTACTATGGCACGTGTGGAGTAAATTGTCATATACTGCAAATTTTGCATCGCGTTCAAAAATACCGCTTCTGTCTTAATTCATAGGACACGCACCGGAGGACAAACTCTGCACCCGTTAGTTAACAAATGTTTCCTGATTGACGCGCTTTATATTTAGTCTATACTGCTAGAATCCCACCATCATTTTTACAATGCACATTTTTATAATTTTGGACAATGCTGCTCAAAAAAATCCATAGAATGCAATTAGACGTGCAATATTGGTTGCCGGTCGAAATGAATTTTTTAATTTGTTTATGCATTCCAAATTGCCATCTGTCATCATTTTTGCAAAACTGACAATTCCATTTGGGCAAATTGAATAACCATATGCATATGCGATAGAGATGTGCTCAATAATTGAATATTTGCCCCTTTAAAGATGTGCACAGAAGGCCCTACTATCAGCGTGTTTATGCCCCTCAACTGAACTCCAAACCATCTTCTGGTAATTTAACCGATTCCTTGTCTCAATCTTTTAAATACCGCCTCGTGCATCTTTATTTTTTACCGAACATGTAAAAAAACGTTCGTAGGCTCAAATTTCATCAGTCGAATTAAGATTAAGCAATTGTGTTTAGTTAAGATGACACCATGTAAATAAGATCTTACATGGTAACTTGATTTGCGAAATTTGTTACAAGTTCACAAACGTTCAAATGACCTAAGCTTTCCGGAAAGTATCAGTTTGCCTTCTATGCATTTGTTGTCAGAGAATTTTCATGCTTGACCTCAAAGCGGTGTGTTGAAGAACTTGGGAATTTTAGCGCAGAGGCATTATTAACTGTAAATTTATATTACAGGTTTTCCCATTGTAAACTATTTGATTTCCAAAATCTTAGCCATGCCAAACTGGGGTAAGTTAACTGCTGAAACACTTGAATTTTGCAGGCATTTTACTTAAATATTCTGAAATAAATATCTTTCAACTCGCTGATAGTTGTGGTTAATTAACGTAAATAGAAAGGTGGGAGTTTGCAAATCAGGTCTGATCAACTGAGACAGATGAATAATTTTCAAATTATATTGATTTAGTATTAAATCTAAAGGCAAATAAATTAAGCATGAACCCTAGATATCAGTCTATGTTTGCGCATCTTAAGGGACGTTAAGCAAACAAAAATATATGATTCATAGATATTTTGGCGGATTTTGAATAATTCATATTGACCCAACTATAAAAAACTCGGCGCCTCGTTGGGATTCAAACCCCTGCTCTAAGGGGAAGGCTGTAGTACAGCTAACGCTCTAACCACGTGAGCTACGAGGACCGCCTTGCGACGCGAGTTTTATCACATTTGGGTAAAGTTACCCTCCCAACCTAGTGCAACTTCTGAAAATTACCAAATCTGATACAGCAAGCTGACTGCTCAGGCAGGATTGTCTAAGTAATCCACCTAGAATCCACCAAAGGTCTATCAGGCTCACGTAATTCATAGATATTTTGGCAGATTACGAATTACGTGAGCCTGGTAGTCATGTGATGGCTTCTAGGTGAATTACTTAGGAAATCCTGCCTGGGCAGTCAACTTACTGTATCAGATTTAGTAGATTCTAGACGCTGAAGTAGTTTGGGCAGGTAGCTTTACCCAAATGTGATAAAACACGCATCGTCCGGCGGTGCTCGTAGCTAAAGTGGTTAGAGCGTTAGCTGTGATAAAGCCCTCCCCTTACTGCATGGGTTTGAATCCCACCGAGGCGCCTTGTTTTTTACAGTTGGGTCAATATGAAAAAATATATGAGTCAGAACATAAGTGTGTAAATGACAAATTAAACAAAATTTATGTTCAGTAGTGCTTTAAGGTGTTCTTTTCTGATTACTGATCTCAGACCCTTTCAGAAAACCTTGCTTTTGCAAAGGCGTTCAAATTGCAATGATAACAATCGTAAACAATTTTGACACGAACAAGCTTCGCATACTTTAATAGGCAAAAATGACACAACACGGATTTCTGTAATTTATTCACCTTAGGTCTTTATATGAAGATTCTGAAGCTTCTTGCAACCTGCACCAGTTTTTCATTTTCACAGTCGAATAAATAGGAATAGCGATAAGTTGTGTTCTGCGATAAGCAATCTTTCAAATAAACTAGACAATTTTACAAATCAAAAGTGAATCGGTTCACATTTGTTTATGAAGACCCGACGCGTTTTCCGCGTGTTTTGCTACTCTTTTGAGGCTTTGAATATGGCCTTTTTGCTTTCCACGTTGCCGCCTTTGCCCTATTCAAATTTATTCCTGGAAATCATCGCTTCCTCTTTTCTGGCAGGTCTCACGTCCCTCTTCGTGTTAACTCTGCTCCGGTAGGCCTCATGAGCATGGAGGACAATGTACCAATTGTGCTTTTTAGTGAAAAATAAAATTAGGCAATTCATACACTTCTACTTATAAAAATCTTCTCGAAAAGGATGCATTCTTTTACGGCGGCAGCAGAAAACCGAATGCGGTTTTATTGTAGCTTGGGGCGGACAGTGATAGTTCATGTGTCTGACTGAATGACATTTTAAGTGGCTTTGTGTGTTTCATATGAGATAAATGCGTTCAGTTTACAGAGTATAACCGCTGTAATTAACGTTCTGCTTGTTTGTTTTATAAATTAATTTGAGACGGATGGCGAGAATTGAATGTAAAAGAATACTAAGATGTTAATGCCCATGGATTTCTCTAATGCGAGGAGAATATTGCTGTTGGTGCTCTTGGTAGAAAAGACGGACAAGGCAGTAATCTTAGTCTGCAGAAGGCATTAGAAAACCCGCATTCCTGCCGTTGATTACTTTACTCCTACAAAGCGGTACCGAACTGAACCGCACACTTCGAAATACGCGAATACCTGAAATGTAATCAGACTGAGAACAGGCGACCAATGGTTACTGGTTGACGAAGACGGGACTGGAGTAGACAGAATAAGGCAGGCAAAATTAATTCTAGGTTTTACCCCTACCTTGACCTAGTCCGAGCCTGAATCTTAAGTCTTGCCATAACTCTGGTCACAAATATAATTCTTTGCTTAATCTAAACTGGAAGTACTACCCTAACACGGCATATTACCTAAGTCAAATAAGCAGGCACGCTATAGCTGTAAAAGCTAAGGCTTATGTATTCAGACGTCACCAAGGAGACCTTGGAAAGCCTACTCATATAATTTAACTTTTTAGCTTCTATTCTACGAGAACTGTACAGTTTAAGGATAAAAGTAGAAATAATTGAGTTTTCCAAATTGCCGAAGGGAAACTCCCCATTCATGGTTAGTCACTTTATGCTTCCTTTCCATATCTGCTTCGGAAGAACATATAAACGCTTGAGCTTATCACAACCAAGCTCCATGGTCTACTCTGTTGGTGACAATGACCTTCTTCATAAAAAATAATGGCATCCGATAGATTAATGTTTGCGTTTCACTTAACCCAACCTTATATCACATTCATTGACGCTTTCTGAAGTATTATGAGTGACCTAAATGATGGATTGTGTTGAAATTTATGAATAATTGCAAGTCACTCACAAACCGACACCATTTCATGTGTCAAATGTCTATGTTGATTAAGTACAAGTATAAGAGAATTAAAAACAAAAGAAATATTAAAGGCAGTGCTGCGTTGTTCAGAAATGCCGATTTCTTTGGAAAAGCACAATATCCCGAAAAGGTCAGAAATGACTCTTATTTAGTAAACTTCGTTTTCAGATTATTGTATGTATTCTGATACCACAAAAGTAGCAAATATAGAAGTAGAAAAAACGAACGTCTAATAACAATGTTTTAGTGAAGTGTACGTCTAAATATCGTTTAATAAGTAGTGTAGTTCCACACATGACAGTTTGTCAACTGCCTATATCCAAGTCCAATGTGCAATCTCGCGCTCTGTTTCTGCCGGCGAGGCAGTAGGTCGATATTCGAGGCACGGAGCCTTGCGTCTGTCCACCATTTCCGAGATCGCAACCAGAAGGAAAGTAAGACTGAAACCGGACGTATGGTGTGCCGAACGTCCATTTAACAGAGCGTGCGTTTCGTACGCAGATGTCGTAAACCTCGAGATAATTATGGTTTTCTAATATCGGCAAATTAGCCAGGGGTAGTTATTACAGTCTCCCTTGTTTTGGCCGATTAATGCATAATGCTGAAAATTAACGAAAATTGAAGGGATTACTTTGGGCAAAATATAGTTAAGAGTTTTGGCCGTTCACTAATCTATTTCTAGGAAATGTCTCTCTTGGTTAAATTGGTATCTTAGTAATTTCATCAGACGAATGTTCATAAATTTGGACAGAAAATCACGTTTACCTATATTCCAGCAGTTTACTATGTTAGTAGCTGTTCCACACTAGTATGCGCAACTCGACGTTTTCCTTTGAGAAAGAAGTCGCTACGCCCGAAAGCTTTACTAAACTAACCTTGAATTACTTAAAAATTAAATTACATTGGTCCTTTTTTGAAAAAGCAGATTATCCATCAATATTACAAATAAGGCACGCAGATTTGCGTGTATTCAGACACTAAAGTGCATAAATAACGGCTGTAAGCAGCTCTTCCTGTAGACTACCGCAATTTTCTTTTCTGAGATTGCTCTCTGTGGAACCACCAAAAACCGTCGTCTAATTACCGTTTAAATTATACACATAAGGAAAGATATTTGAGCGATTTATTTTCTGATAAAAAAATTATAAGTTCTTATGTCGTCAGGATGCATGGCCTCTAAAAGTTCTATGTTATTCACGCGTGGGCGGACACAAAAATGTGTGTTCTGTGCCAAGCATATCTTTTTTTCATGTTCTAGTAAATGCCTGTCGTCTTAGAACAAGTTCACACATATTTTCTGCCAAATGCTGGAAGTTGGGTTTCGCAGTTTTACTATAGCAGGTACCACATACGATTCTGCATACAGAAATGTCTTATCTCAAAAAACATACCTCATGCTGAGTGGGTATAATCTGAGTAGGAAGATGAATATACAGTTTGTCTTTCATCCATGTTTGGTGTTACATCAGTTGTATAAAAATCGGACATATAAGCAATATGAGACAGTCTTTTGGTTGGACTTACGTATAAGGATTCTCACTGAAGTCTCTTTTCGAGAAATTCACCAGCCAAGCGTCCTGCCAATTCTTCTTTGGAGGAGCACGACAAAGGTTCAGTGGTTGTTGTCACTGTCTTATCGAGTGTAAACAGGATTCGTGAGCGGTTGGAGTTGGCAATGATTTTTAACAATTTTCAGTGGGCCTTTACTATTAAAAAAAGTTGTGACCAATAGTGAAAACATATACTCGGTGTTTAATTAGTGTATGAGCCATAGGCCTTGACCATTTCATCACGAAACAAATGAGGTACCTAGAGATAAGGGCCTAATAGTGCCGCCCTCATCATTGGTAGTATCCCCTGGGAATTAACGTTGGATTGCAAGCCCACATAAGTCCAGGATTTGCAGGAACATCCAGCTGTCTCGTGAACACACTCATGGTAAAGGAGTTACAAATATACGCCGGCAAATAATTTTCTCGGCAAATGAATCTCTGTGAGAAAAAACAGAAACCTTGATTTGTGTGGCACAGTTCCTTTGAAGCTGGTAATCGTGTCATCTGAGATTACACTTGGGTGACATTCCAAAAAGCGTCTCCCAGTCGACATCCGGATCAAGTGCTCTTAGCAACTGAACCTTTGCCATGAGGTTACCTCTCTCCTGCCTGAAGTGGAAGAGATAGAGGTTTAAGGTCATCAGACGCTGCTCGTACGCGCATAGGAAGTTGCAGTATTTGCAGAATGAAGTCGCTATGATACTGCATACCTATGCTAATTAACCGCTCTCCCCTTCACCGAGGATTGCCTGATTTAACCGCATCCAGAAACGGCGCAATGGCACACAGCCTGTCATCAAAGGAACTGACGAAGGAGCACGTGCAGGTTTTACGGCACAAAGCCTTATTTAACACAGCTGATGCCAAACCTATCAACATGATTGCAGTGTTTGAAACGGCCATCAGTCAGGCGAAAGCGACGAAGGAGACGAAGAACCTCATCCAAGACCAAGTGTCGTCATTCCTTATGACTTGCAAGCCTAGCGAAACACTTTCAAAGGTCGAACGCGATGCACTTAGGGCACCCAGGGTCGACAAGGATATCGTCATTGTGCCCCGGACAAAGAACGTGCCACTGTTGTCTTGGACAGAACAGCTTGCCTTCAGAAGGCCAAAAACTACTGAAAGATCGCCCGTTTTATGTCCCATGTAAAAACAAATCCCGTAAAACGCTGACATGCGAAGTTAATGGGACACTGCTGGCATTGGGGAACTCCGGTGCAAAAACACAGATCGACCGACGCAGGGCGTGGGCCCGGATCTATGGCCTCCCCAAGTTGCTCAAGGAGGGCGCTCCTCCCTCAAGGCGCTCCAGCATACGGACTGGCAAAATAGCTGCTTTGGCGCCTTAAATTCCTGGAGTTGACTCAGCCACTACGGTCTGTTCGTCAATACAATACATGGAGAGGCTTAAAGGGGTAACTTCCTTGCCAAGTTAGGTAAGGGTATCTTTTGATGTCACGTCCCTCTTCACCTCTATCCCTAAGGATCTCGCAATCGAGACCATCGAGTTACTTTTACAAAGAAAATTCAACGAAGTGGAGAATCGCTTCGGACATGCCCAAGTCCTTCAGCTCCACAAATTTTGTCTCAGGACATTCTCCACGTTTGACGGCACAATCTTTTATTAGGTGAAGCGAACACCCATTGGCTTTCTGATTCCGGGACTCAGCCGATACGGTCCGATAACAGTTGGAGTCGCTGGTCTTCCAACACCACAGACCGAAATTTTGGGTTTGTTATGTGGACGATACCTTCGTCGTCATCGAAGGAATCAGGTGCTCACGTTCAAAGAACGCTTCGACAGCGTCTTCCCGAACATAAAATTTACGATGGAGGAGGAAAAATATCCAAATGGCCCACTGTCGCAAAGATTGTGGTGACCTAAAGACCAGAGCGATCAGGAAAACGACGAACACGACGCAAATACTGACATGAACCAGCAACCACCCAATCAGCCTCAAACGCAGTTTCATAAGGACGCTTTGATTGCGTGTTGAGACGCACTGCAGTGAATAGCACAAAAAGATGGCCGAATTCCAATAGCTTCGATGGGTTTTAATGAAAAACGTTGCCCGCGCAACTTCGTTAACTGGCGCATGCGCAAACGTGACGAGCGGCAAAATTGCTCGAAGTGCAAATTCTGACGAAAAAATCCCGTACATCAAGAGCGTCTCAGAGGCCGTTAGTCGCCTTCTTACACCTGTTGGGATTGGAGTTGCACACAGACCAGAGGTCAT